CCTATCAGTGAAATGAAATATATAACGTCAACGCTAGAGAACAGTCAGTCTATATTGTCTCTCGAAACAGATTCCAATGCAAAGCCTTAACAATGAGTTTTGATTTATCAGTATGGAAGCGTATTAGTATTATACCTACATCTACGTAGACGATACTTACATCTACGTAGACGATACTTACATCTACGTAGACGATACCTACATCTACGTAGACGATACTTACATCTACGTAGACGATACCTACATCTACGTAGACGATACTTACATCTACGTAGATAATACTTACATCTACGTAGATGATTCTTACATATACGTAGACGATACCTACATCTACGTAGACGATACTTACATCTACGTAGTTGATACTTACATCTATGTAGACGAAACTTACATCTATGTAGACGATACCTACATCTACGTAGACGATACTTACATCTACGTAGACGATACCTACATCTACGTAGACGATACTTACATCTACGTAGTTGATACTTACATCTACGTAGAAGATAGGTTCATCCCTGTATGTGATATTATTATCGTACGTATCGTTACTCTGAGAGTGATATTGTCTTCTGCAGTTGCGACCCTAGTTGGATACAAACATTTATGTTTTTAATTAAGGTGATTACTTTATTAATGTTAATTTAATTAAATGTTTGGGAGCATGTTGTTGTTTTTTCAACCTGTCAAACTAATAGCGCTTAAATAAAAACACAAACTGCAGAATTGTACCTTCAGTGCTTTATAAGATGATGACGAGTATTGGTTTGATATAGGTTTGTAGTTTGAATGATTCTCACCCCTTCATATTCACGTTTTACCTCTTAAACCTAATTTCCGTCATGGAGAAATCATGAGGATCAACATATTTCTCCGGCTTTAAACATGTTGTGGTTGATATATGATTTCGCTAAAGTTTTGAATAATGTGCTCTAGCTGTTTATTTGTTTGTAGTTTGGAGAACAGTTTGTGCTTTCCTCTCTTTTTTTACGGTTGTGAGAGAGTATGGCGTGTGTCATTCTCCAGAACTTCGACACATTGAAATGAAGATTGACTTGATGCAATATTTAGATAATACCCCATTCAAGACACGTCAAGGCAGAAGGTCAAACAAATCGGTCATTATTAATGAAGCCAATGTAACTGACCCTCGAATAGTGTAGTGTAGTGTAGTGTAGTGTGGTGTGGTGTGGTGTGGTGTGGTGTGGTGTGGTGTGGTGTGGTGTGGTGTGGTGTGGTGTGGTGTGGTGCGGTGCGGTGCGGTGCGGTGCGGTGCGGTGCGGTGCGGTGCGGTGCGGTGCAGTGCAGTGCAGTGCAGTGCAGTGTAGTGTAGTGTAGGGCTTTCATCTACGTAGATGATGTTTTTTAGACTGTGGCACTAATACTCTTCCACACATCAGCACACTTTAGTCTGAAAAACAAAAGGTGGGAGATACTTTAAATCACGTACAAAGCACGCTATTGTCTCTCATTTTCTTCAGTGTGTCACTCTAAAACGTCTCTATGTATCCTCTGTTCCTTTTAAAACCATCAGCCCTGACAGGTGCTTACAAACGCATAGAAAGTCCAAATAGAAAAACAAGAAAAACATGTTGAATAAAAAAAACAATATAAGAATAAGTTATTAGCTGCAACATATGGAAAAAAATATATAGAAAATAAATCTAGTCAGCATGTAAATGCCTCCTTATAAGGTTGAATAATTCCCGTCTAATATTACGTCAGTGTGTGATTATGTACCAGCCAGCACGACTGTAGTCAGCATGTACTGTCACTTTGCAAGTACTGTAGCAAACATACGAATCAAATGTATGGATCAGCAACAAGCTATGTTAGGATTTGAATCAGCCATGAAATAAAATTTGACCTTAGAGTTTACAGTCTTTAATGTATCGTTTAAAAGATCGTTGCAGACGGGTAGAACTTACGACATTCATAATAATATCATATTTTATTTGGCTATACAATATCAAGTGAGCCAAAACGCATGAACAAGCGTCTAATGTTTTGTGTTTGTTTTACACCAACGTGATTGACGTCTCCGACTGCAACTTGATGTTTCTTCTACATTGAGCTGACGCGCCGTGAAAATTAAAATTATACCGTTTAAACCAGCGTTAAATTCAACTCATTCTAATGTTTTCCAACATTATGTTATGTTCGTGTCACGATTCGTCTTCAATTTTTAGTTGTCCCTATTGGTGCCATTTCTTGACCATCCCCGTTATTTCGTTTAGCATGTCACGAAATGAGCTGGTAATTGACAAGTGTTCAGATGATGTCTTTAATTATTTGAATGTCCCGTTTCAACAAATACTAAAAGATATTCACAAACACATGCTGCGTCCAAAATAATTTCGCTAATTTCCCGTTAACCCCCCAAAATTTGGTGTCATTACAAATCAAGTCTAGCCCATTGTGAGTGAGTCGGGTTTAACGCCGCTTTTATCAGTATTCCAGTTATATCGCGGCGTGTCAGCATAATGTGGGAGGAAAGCCCGAAGTGATGCAGGTCTCAGACGTTTACCACTTCGGTGAAACCCACGAGCACGGTTATGGTGCTGACAAACCTACAACCATATCCGGGCTAACCGGGATTCGAACCAACAATCATAGGTTTCTGGCGTGCCCAAGGAAAGCAACTCAGCACAGCGAATCGCGGCGCCTTATTACTGGGCCACCAGTGCCCCTTAGCCCATTATGAAGGGACTGTGTCGATGCTCTGTGCCATCATTGTCTTGTATAACCTGTAGGACATCCCTCTGGCGATTCCGAGACACAGTAAGTCCACAGTATCCTATTCTTGTCAGAAAGTCAGTCAACCTCAATCAGCCAGCGGATGTACATGAGCTTATCGACACATGCATATTCAAAACATCAAGATGACAGTTTCAGTGTAACAGACAAAAAAACACCAAGAATACCAAGCTGGAGATAAAATATTTATGTCGTTTGAGATGACTGAAGATATACGTAGTATTTGGTACTATGTTATGGATCGGTGCTCATGCTTTTGACCACTGTTTTCACTGGTCTACACAGTTATTTACATGCCGTTGTTATTTAGCTGAAATATTGCTAACTGCTGCATAAAACAACATTACCCTACGGATAATTACTATACATTGTGCCTTCCCACTGTCTTCCTCCTTGACTGGTTCAGTTTGTTGGTACAAACAACACTTATAATATTTAAGTGTTGCTAACTACATAATCTGTGCACCAATCCTTGTAGATTATTACACATTGTCACCTGTGTACCTTTCTATGGCCCCATCAGCCACCACCACTGTCTTCCTCGCTTGTCCTACACAAATAATGTAACGAGCTGTCTTATTGTTCCACTGCGTACGTCTAATTTATACCTCTTATCTAATATACCTGTATTCCAACATCAATTATCGGTTTATTTGATAACCCGCCTGGATTATCACTTGGTGATAATCTCCTCTCATCCCCGTATAGAAACACTGGACACACAAGCCATCACCGTCCCTCCCCAAGCTGGAGCGCTGGTAACTCACGAGGTGCTAGCTTCCTATAATTGCTCCGTTTTAGGCTGGATTTGTTGTTACAGAATTTCAGTGGCTGTTTAACTCCCAATAAAGTAATTAGCCAGAAGTGTTAGCGGTAGTGTGCAGTAGCTGTTAAGTAGTTTGTATATGTAATCAGGTCATTGATAGTGTATAGGTATATATACAGTATGGGAGGCTGCAGGGGACATCATTATCTAGCTACGGTTGTATCTGACGCAGGGGCAGTCACTACAAGAAAACTCACACTTTTTGTCAAACAGGAAGACAGACACTACAGGTAAGGATTCATCTTTATTGAAGACGTTGTAATGTTTCACCAACAGTCAGATCATGGTTGTTAAATACCTTCAACTCATCACTTACGTTTCTGAAATGCTGTTCCAGCTTTATTGTTACCTATATTTTGTATCTTCATTTAAGGATTCATCTTTATTGAAGACGTTGTAATGTTTCACCAACAGTCAGATCATGCTTGTTAATATCCATCAACACAACCCATAGGATACAGAGGACAATCACTAATTCACATCACATATCTGTTGTAGTACAGTCCAGTATGCATTGTTGCACAGTGGCATATATTTAGTTTCTTCATTCATCGATATGTATCATGACTCAATTTCATAACAATATAATTATTATTTTCAGTTTAAAATGACCCCCTCTCCAGTGTCCCGGATGAACATGCTTTGCCTTGATAGTCCCAATCACGTGACATTGGGTATTCTGGGTATTCACGAAGATGCTTGTGTATTGCCTCGTAGCCTCACTTTCGACGACGATGATGACTCACGTGACAGCGGTTTCGAATCTCACGGGAGTGATACTGAGGTAAATATCCCGACAGTGTTGCTATTTCCACAGAACAACATACCATGCTTTTAGTGTTCACCAGATGTGGATAAACACGTGATACTCATAGATTTATTTACCAAGAACTGAACAGACAATGCACCTTCACAATGCATCGTAGTATTTCCTAATATATGATCCTGGGGAGTCCGGGTTAGATTAGGCCCCCAGCTACCTATCCTGGTCTTAGGGCGACCAAAATGGATCGATGATCAGATTCGGTGATTTGGCTGATTGCGTCATCATACCCCGACGGCATGTATTGTTTCTCAATTTTAATTCACTAGATTGTCTGGTTCAAACACGATTGTTTATAGTTCGCCGTCAAATAGCTGATATAAGTCTGAGTGCGACCCTGAACAGTAAACAAACAAAACAAATTTCCTATTACAAGTATGAAGATATTTGCGATCTCTTTTTTTCCAGGGATCTCCGCTCAACTGTTTTCGGTCGAGTAGAACAATCACCGACTTCAGTTCAGTTCGAAAATCTTTATTCTCATCAAAACGACCACATGATGGGGATGAAAGTCCTGTGACAAAAAGATCTAGATTGGATGAAGTCACGGAGCATCAGGGAGAGCTATGTATTTCTGAATCCCCCGAATCCATGAAATCAGCGCTGGATAAGATGGAGGCGGAAATCAACCTGATTGGCGATGGCTCAGAGGTAAAAAATTATGTATGGCAAATATTAATAAACCACACACGTGTCTACACACTATTCGTTGCTCGTTCAAGACATGTTCATATTTTGAAATTATTCTGAAATGGTCAACGGGATCTGACTCTCATTATTTCGTGTCATGTCGTGTTTTATTGCATACTCAATTCATTATTTTTTATCCAGTGTCACAGACTCCCGACCATCACAGGCCGACACAAGGATCTCAAGTCAGTGTCTCCACGCACAGTCAATCACCTTCTCACCGGCAAATACAATGACGTCATTTCCGGGTACCAGATCATCGACTGTCGATACCCGTATGAATATGAGGGTGGTCATATTGAGGTAAATAAACGTTTTTTGTTGATGATTAAGACGAGAATGATGCAATGACTAATCTGTAACGATCCTAAATATTCCTGATACCGTTCACAAAACATTTTGTATATATTTTCATTCCTATGATTATGGTTCTTACAGGGTGCCATAAATCTCCACAACGAGGCTCAAATCAAGGAGTTAGTCACCAGCCTACAGGGGAGGGAGTCGACTGAACGGAACATCCTCGTCTTCCACTGTGAATTCTCGTCAGAGAGAGCACCCAAACTGTAAGTCGTGGAAGCGCTTTTGAAACATTCTTTTTCGTTAGACCCTGACGAGTAATGTTTAACTGGTTAAAAATGTCCTCGATTCTTGACCAAGCCAAGGTAATGAACTAAGAATTATAAATGTTTTTAGGTGATACACAATTTTATGCTATTATATACAGTTCATACCAAGATGTTACTCAACTGATGCAAAATTCTTAAATCCAGATTACGCCATCTGCGTAGTTTAGACCGGAAGTTGAACAGTGACCGCTACCCGTTCCTCTTCTACCCGGAAGTGTACCTGCTGGATGGCGGTTACAAGGCCTTCTATGAACAACATCAGGTGCGTTCACATTTCACTTACAGACAGTTTTAATCATTGTAATTATGTCAGTGAAACTTAGAAACAACATATGTATAGTTCTTGATCTGATTATTACGTCACATATTTCAAAAAGCTGTATTTGAAAAAGAGGTTGCAGTGAAATTCAGTTACTGACAATGTTCCTTGTTCTTTCAGCGCCAGTGTCAACCAAACACTTACGTTCCCATGCTACACCTGGACTACGCCAGTCAGCTACGTCATTTCCGGTCCAAGTCCAAGTCGAACAAGACTGTGAAAAACAGATACTTGCAGAGTCTACGTTTAGAAATTGATGTTTCACCGCCTAAATTTTCACTCATGTAATAATGACATCATTTACAGATCACTTTTGACATTGTTGACATTGTTGATATTATTACATTGTTATGTATTTCTTGTTGATTGATCTCTGCATTTTTGTGCTGATTGTCTATGTTCTCTAAAACAGAAATAAAAGTTTCAATGTACGCACATATTTCTTCTTTTCCAAGCGTTCCAGCTATCAATTCTCAAAGGTGGTCACGCATTAACGTACTATAAGCATATGCAATCCGGCTTTTGGACGTTTGAACAGCACATACTTCAGGTACTATTTATAATATTTCTTTAAAACATCAGTGACAAAAATTATGTCCGATGCAATTCCCTATCTTGACTTGTACCATATGTTCACGTGGTGTTTCAGGTGAACAATTGACTTGATTTGCATGTGTTTGTGACAGGTGCTACTTGTACGCACCTCTTTCAGGAAACATCTGGTATCATCACTATTTGATAGATATTCATGAAACCCGTGAGGATCCGGGGTCATCAGCAACCCATGCTTGCCGTAAAAGGAGACTGTGCTTGTCTTAAGAGGCGACTAACGGGATCGGGTGGTCAGGCTCGCTGACTTGGTTGATGCATGTCGTCGTTTCCCATTTGCGTAGATCGATGCTCATGATATCAATCACTGTATTGTCTGGTCTAGACTCGATTATTTACAGACCGCCGTCATATAGCTGGAATATTACTGAATGCGGCGTTAAACAACAAACAAACAAAACAAACAAGCTATTTATGAACACATGCTCGTGATATCGTCGGAATCGTACAATCGACTCTGCTACTGGCAGAGATTTCTTATAGTTATGGAAATGTTTTAGTCGCTTTTATTTGACATAAATGGGGATAAGTAAATGGGATAGACAAGGTGTTTGAAAAACGTCGTTAAGTATTCAATTTATCATATTATTCAAGTTGATTTACAAAAAAGCGATCGATCGTTTCCTGATCAAACCACTTCCTCGATAATTCACGATAGGAAGAGTTCACACTTTATAGACTAAGTATAACGGGAAAAAGCAAATACATATTTAATTGTTAAAGCAAGAGAATAATCAGTCTAGATAAATGTTAAACTTACCTTGTAAAACTAAACAGGAGACTAATAAATCCCTGACCTGAAAGAATTAGGAGATAAACATACTGTGATTTCAATGTAGAGCTAGGTTACCTGTAGGTTTAACCGCGCTAAATGGAATTTGGAACCGAACGCGCAGCGTGAGGTTTCATATTTAAATAAGGATACCAACAATGACAGTAAAAGAAGTACTATTCTAAAAATATCAGCTTCCGTGGAGATGCGGCTGTCAAATCGGCTGTTTCAATCAGAGGGGCTTTTCTGCGATTTGATACCCCTGATTATCCAATCAAAATCGAGTATTTTCCAAATTCATGACAGAGTGTTAAATTTGGCGCGGTTAAATCTATAGGTAATCTAGCTCTACATTGAAAACAGTATGTTTATCTCTATTCTGACGCGAACTCGTTAGTGTTTGAAAATTATTGAGTGAATCGGCATTAGTTGAGTCCAGTGTTTTCAGTGGGTTGTCGATCAGAATTTACGGAATCACCGACAAGAGCCTCTTAACAAAATGTGGCGCTCTATATGCTCAAGCAGTTTGTGTACCCCGTAATATTTTTAAAAAAAACTTATGACAGGCTCTGAAAGCATGTAGCACGTCAACTTCGTAAGCCAACAGAAGGTGGGCAGCCCTTAAGAAAAGCAAGCCTTGAAAATATTTCGTTCTTATGACCCTTATGACATCATATAGTTCATTGTGGTTATGAAGGTTATGAAGTCTAGGTCGTAGAAAGAAAAGCGTGAAATAGCAAGCTCTCTGTTATCCTCGTAGCTTGAAATACATTCTCTTTGCAGATTTGTGTTCTCTGCTTGAAAATATTGCCACACATACTTGGAATATCGTAGTAACCGCAACTTTGCATTTGTAGCATATAATCGTTCATATCATTATTAAAATACCCCCACCTACAATGACTGTAAAAGAAGTACTTGTCTATAAATATTAACTTCCGCGGTGATGAGGCCGTCAAATCGGCTGTTTCAATCAGAGGGAGTTCATTGGGATTTGATACCCCCGATTAACCAATAAAAATCGAGTATTTACCATATTCGGGGTAGAATTAGGAGACAAACATACTGTGTTTTCAATGTAGAGCTAGGTTACCTGTAGGTTTAACCGCGCTAAATTGAATTTGGAACCGAACGCGCAGCGTGAGGTTTCAAATGGCATGTAACGCATTACAAATGTAATCAGCCGTTCATAACATTCAGCGTGGCTCATTACTCATTTTCGGTTATTCATTCATATAATTTCCACCGCTATTTTCCTTTTTACGCACGATGGAATAACGCCCTGATTGTGTTTCTATGTTTGTCAACACCATATCCGTGCCTATAGGTTTCCCAAAAGTGGTTAACGTCTATGGTCTACATTACCTCGAGCTTTCCTCCCACATTAAGCTGACACGCGGTGATATAGCTGGAATATTAATAAAAGGGGCGTCCAGGTAAACTCACAGACTCACCATCTATAAAACCACATCAGTCCCATTCCTACTGTATGTATATGTATACTATAGGCCTTTGACCTTTTCAGTACTGTAAATAAAGATATAATACACTTAGTGTTGAATTATTCCACGAGATGTTATGACTGGACAACAACAACCATGGGAGCCATATTGACAGTAGGGACGAGGGATCGCGATGTAGATCAAGTTCAGCCACATCACAGTTCAGGATGGAGAGGCATGCATTTTGAATTTGTATTATTTACTTGGGGTAATTGGTAATTACTAATAATACTTACACATTTAGATTACATATTGAATACATAAAGGAGGTTGTCATATACCTTGTCTCTCCCATTTTAGATCAATACAAGCGTCAAAAACAGTTCCATTACCATAAGAAATCTCTGCCGAAAGAACAGTCGATTGTACGATCTAACAACTAGTACATCATGAGCATGTGTTCATGAATAACTATCAAATAGTGAAGATACCAGTTGTTTGCTAAAAGAGGTACGTATCCTACCCCACCAGTGACACCTGACACAAACACATGCAAAGGCAAGTCATTGGTCACCTAAAAAAACAATGAACATATTGTACAAGTCAAGATAGGGAATTGCATCGGACATCAGTTTTGTCACTGATAGGTCACATTTGTGTCAGAAATGTTATGAATGTTTCCTGGGACCACTTGCACAAAGCGATCTTAGCGCTAAGACTATCGTAAGCCTATGTTAAAGTATGGGAGTTACAATCATCTTAGCGCTAAGATCGCTTTGTGCAAGTGGGTCCTGGACTGTTTGTTGTAGAAACATCCCAAAAGACAGATTGCATACGTTGCTAGTAGTTTTAGTTGTATGTTTGAGTGACCACCTTTGTGAATTGATAGCTGGAATGCTCGGGAAAAGAAGAAATATATGCGTACATTGAAACTTTTATTTCGGTTTTAGAGAACATAGACAATCAGCACTAAAATGCAGAGATCAATCAACAAAAGATACATAACAATGTAATAATATCAACCATGTCAACAATGTCAAAAGTGATATGTAAATGATGTCATTATTACATGAGTGAAAATTTAGGCGGTGAAACATCAATTTCTAAACATCGACTCCGCAAGTATCTGTTTTTTGTGGTCTTGTTCGACTTGGACTTGGACCGGAAGTGACGTAGCTGACTGGCGTAGTCTGGGTGTAGCATGGGAATGTAGGTGTTTGGTTGACACTGGCGCTGAAAGAACAAGGAACATTGTGAGTAATGGAATTTCACTGCAACCTCTTTTTCAAATATAGCTTTGTGAAAAACGTGATGTATTAATCAGATTAATTACTTTATTGGGAGTTAAACAGCCACTGAAACTCTGTAACAACAAATCCAGCCTAAAACGGAGCAATTATAGGAAGCTAGCACCTCGTGAGTTACCAGCGCTCCAGCTTGGGGAGGGACGGTGATGGCTTGTGTGTCCAGTGTTTCTATACGGGGATGAGAGGAGATTATCACCAAGTGATAATCCAGGCGGGGTATCAAATAAACTGATAATTGATGTTGGAATAGAGGTATATTAGATAAGATGTATAAATAAGACGTACGCAGTGGCACAATAAGACAGCTCGTTACATTATTTGTGTAGGGCAAGCGAGGAAGACAGTGGTGGTGGCTGATAGGGCCATAGAAAGGTACACAGGTGACAATGTGTAATAATCTACAAGGATTGGTGCACAGACTATGTAGTTTAACAGCACTTAAATATTAGTGTTGTTTGTACCAACAAGCTAGATCTTATTTGGGTCAACAGGAAAGTTAATTTGATTTGGGCGAAGCATGTACTTGAAGATATCCTTTTGTATTTGTTGACACGGGGCATTGACATATTTTCAGTTTTCACCTGAACGCTTATGATCTATTACTAGCGGGGTTGGTCAAGAAATGGCACCAAAAGGGACAACTAAAAATTAAAGACAAATGGTGACACGAAAATAACATCATATTGGAAAACTACGCATTAGAATGAGTTGAAGTTGACGCGGGTTTAAACAGTGTTTGCATTTTCCCGGCGTGTCAGCTCACTGTGGAGGAAACATCCTGAGTATTGCAGACGGAGACGTTAACCACGTTGGTGGAACCCCAAAACACAACGCATAAGAAACGCCTTGATGCGTTGTGGCTTACTTGCTATTTGATAGCCAAGGAATATCGTATATTACTGTCGTAGGTTCTCCCTGTCTGTGAGGATCCTTAAAACGATACACCAATTGGGATCACAACTTCTAAAATCATAATGGATATTTTTTTGATTATTTTTTTTGACATCATTTATTCATGTTGATTGTCCACGATTTTACATGGCCCTGTACATTGCCACGTGGACTGGCATATCAGGTATATATTCTTATATTTGGGTTTGAGTAAAATCATTATGGATGCTGTCGACGAATATGCCAATAAATGGGCCAGAAGAGAAG